AAGGGTCTCCTGCTTGAGCAAGGGGGCTGGACTAGAAGACCTCCAAGGTCCCTTCCAACTTTGGTATTCTGTAAGGATCTCCTGCTTGAACAAGGGGGCTGGACTAGAAGACCTCCAAGGTCCCTTCCAACTCTGTTATTCTGTAAGGATCTCCTGCTTGAACAAGGGGGCTGGACTAGAAGACCTCCAAGGTCCCTTCCAACTCTGTTATTCTGTAAGGTCTCCTGCTTGAACAAGGGGGCTGGACTAGACGACCTCCAAGGTCCCCTCCAACTCCGTTATTCTGTAAGGTCTCCTGCTTGAGCAAGGGGGCTGGACTAGATGACCTCCAAGGTCCCTTCCAACTCTGTTATTCTGTAAGGTCTCCTGCTTGAACAAGGGGGCTGGACTAGACGACCTCCAAGGTCCCTTCCAACTCTGTTATTCTGTAAGGTCTCCTGCTTGAGCAAGGGGGCTGGACTAGATGACCTCCAAGGTCCCTTCCAACTCTGTTATTCTGTAAGGTCTCCTGCTTGAGCAAGGGGGCTGGACTAGAAGACCTCCAAGGTCCCTTCCAACTCTGTTATTCTGTAGTTCTGTAAACATAGATCGGATTTAGGACTCCACATTCATGGTGGAGTCCTTTCCCCAATGATTTGCATCCTTCCTTGTTTCCCCCTGCGTGTAATTCCCGAGGTAAATAACATGTCAGGAGAGGTTTTGTTAAGCTACTGATATTCGGGGAGGCTGTAGAGTCATGTAAAATTGTACCACAGAAGACAACCACAGCAGAAGTAGCTTTTTTCACGTCTCCAAGGAGAAAGAAATTGAGTTGTGACTTGTTAGATGTTTGTCTTGCATTTTCTTCAAGAACCGAAGGGATCTTACAGGGGGATCTCCCTCAATTATATGTTCACTGTAACAATAACCCAGCAAAATAGGTCAGGCTCCCCAAATCTTGAGCTCGTGAGCAGAAAGTAGAGTGAAAAGCACTGGGCACCAGTCAGCCTGGGAAGGCCATGAGATGACCCAACAACATGAACATAAAGAGGCTGATGTCTTCAGCACCATCTTTTAATTTCTAGGTCGCTTTCTGTCTTTCACTTCCTGTCTCTGGCTCAGAAATGAAATCATGCAGGGACTCCACCCGCACGCTCAGGCTGAAGGAGGAAGCCCAGCGGGAGACCGTGCTGGCTCACTCGTGAGCAGCTCATGGGTGGCACATGAGCAGTGACATCTCAACCTGCGTGGCTTTAGGGCGTATGGACTTCAATTCCCAGGCAGCCGATGTGCTGGGAGTGGAAGTCCATCTATGCTGGCTCTGGGGGATTCTGGGTGTTCAAGTCCAATGCTTGATGGGCTGCCATAGAGAAGAAGGGGCCAACTCTGGACAACTCCAAGGCACCTGAGGGCAGGACAAGAAGCAATGGGTGGAAACTAATCAAGGAGAGAAGCAACTTAGAACTGAGGAGAAATTTCCTGACAGAANCTGACCAAGGAGAGATTCAACCTGGAAATAAGGAGGAATTTCCTGACAGGGAGAACAATCAACCCATTGTCTTCAGAAGTTGTGGGAGCTTCATCCCTGGAGGCTTTCAAGAAGAGACTGGACTGCTCTCTGTCAGAAATGGGGTGGGGTCTGCTGTGTGTGGAGTTCAACTAGATGACCTACAAGGTCCCTTCCGACTCTATAAATCTGTACATCACACACATCCTGGGGAATTCCAGAAGCCTAAATCCACCCATCTCAATGTTGCTGCCCCCTCAAATGTGAAGCATAAACTTTAAATGTTTGCTGTTCTGAAATGAATATTAGCCATTGTCCACGTGGTCCTTCCTGGGAGTTGAAGTCCACACACTCTTTTAAGTTGTCAAGATTGAGCAACCTTCTCCCAAAAGCCAAAGGAATAAGTTCCAAAATCAGAAGTATTACAGAGACGGATGTTTGGTGCCTGCCATGTCTTTGTCAACATTTTAAGACACTCCGAGGTTTCACCAAACTGCACATTTTCCCACTAGTCAGAACCCTACATGTTTAAAAATGTTGGGACCGAGCGTCTGTCAATCACTCTTCCCAGACGAAGCACGGTCCTTGAGTTGATGCAACCTCTTCCCACAGTGTCTCCTCTGCTCACCTCATAGTTCCTGCCACCCCAGCCTGCATGGCTGTTCTCCCTGGGTGTTGGCACCCTAGTCAGCCCATTTTGAAGGATGTCAGGTTGAGACTCCCTCCCTCATCTTCTCTCCAACATTTAGGGCATGAACTGTGTGCAAGACGGGAAATAGCATTTGATGGAGAGAGTTACACCTGTTGTTTGCTGGGCGCTGAGTTACACAAAAGGCTGGGTTGGGCCCGGGCCTACTTCCTTGTGCACAACTTGTGCGGCACACAGGAAGTCATCTGGGAGGTGGCCCTTAACAGCCCAGCTAGCAAGGAGGGGAGGAAAAGAAAGTCTACTACAACTCTTGTAACTTCCTTGTTTGGGCTGTTGTCCCAGGCCTACTCCCTGGGAGCGGTTGCATCAATATTGTGGTTGAGCAAAGATGCAGTTAAGGACAGCTGAGTGTCGTAAACAAGCCAATCCCTCCCTTGTCGTGATTGATGTTGTAGTCTGACCAGAATGCCTCGTTAGACGAACGGTTGAGGGAGCTGCCTATGTCTAGCCTATTGAAGAGGGACGTGAGAGCAGTCTTGCAGTGTTTGAGGGGCTGCCACAAAGAAGGGGGGGTGGCCAGCCTGTTCTCCAAGCACCTACGGACAGAACAAGGAGTAATGGATGGAAACCTATCAAGGAGAGAAGCAACCTAGAACTAAGGAGAAATTNTGAAGTCCAGACATCTTCAAGTTGCCAAGGTTGAGAAACACTGGACTAGAAGACCTCCAAGGTTCCTTCCAACCCTATGATTCTATGACCTACGGCCAGTCCTGAATCCACCCTAATAGTTCCTATAATATATTCTAGATGCAGATAGTAACGGTATCCCTTGATTTACAACAGGTCATTTATTGTGATGAATGTAGCAAGGAGATGGATTCCCATGAGGTAGTAGGGCAACGTAGCCTGGGTATTATATGTGAGAGAAAGAGGGTGAAGGCAGGCCCTCCCTAATAGCTCCCAGAGTAGATAAATGCCATTGGAGAGTGTTTAATCTGGCAAAATTCTGTCTGTAGATGGGAAAGAATAAGAGCTTGGGAGAATCACCCTGGGCGATTGTAGGTTTGGACACTTTTCCCCCCATTGGAGGTGGGCATCCATTTTTGCTCCTTTAATCTTCCACTCAAACTTCCATGACTCACTGGGCCCATCCTGGACTCCTAATCCCTGCCCCTGAGCACCCACGGTTCAGCATTGTGAGTCAACAGGGGGTTCTTTCCTCTCTAGAGGGGGGGAGGGGAAATGGGGATGCTCAGCAGATGGAATGGACAACTGACCATCAGCGTCCTCCTCCCTCCAGGAAGCAGTGGCCATCCAGCTGGAAGAAAGCCGCCTGGAGAAGATCAAGGAAGTGCTGAAGGAGCTACCATCACCTCACCACCGGTATTTGCAGGGACATGGTTTGCCTCTGGCTCAGTCTTCCCAGGAGGAGGAGGAGGAGGAAAAAGAGGGGGGAGGAGGAGGAGGAAAGGAGGAGAAGAAGGGGAAGAGGTGAGAAGGAGGAGGAGGAGGAGAAGTTGACGAGAAGGAAGGGGAGGAGGAGGACAGATTGAGATGAGGAGGAGGGGAAGAGGAGCAGAAGGAGGAGGCGAAGAGGAGGAGAGGAGGAAGGGGGAGGAGGAACAAGGAGGAGGAGGAAGAGTGGGGAGGTGGACAATTCAGGGGAGGAGGAGGAGGAAGAGGGGGAGGAGGGAGGAGGAGAAGGGGAGGAGGAAGAGTGGAGGAGGAGGACAAATTGAAGTGATGAGGTGGGGAAGAGGAGCAGGAGGAGGAGGAAGAGGAAGAAGAGGAAGGGAGGAGGGGAGGAAGAAAGAAGGAGGAGGAGAAGGAAGGGGGAGGAGGACAAATTCAGGGGAGGAGGAGGAGAAGTGGAAGAGGAGGAAGAAGAGGAGGAGAGGAGGAGGAGGGGAAGAGAAGGAGGAGGAGGAGAAGCAAAGGAGAAGGAAGGGGAGGAGGAGGAGGACAAATTGAGGCAGAGGAGAAGGGGAAGAGGAGCAGGAGGAGGAGGGGAGGAGGAGGAAGAGAAGGGGAAGAAGGGGAGGAGCAGAAGTTTCTGTAAGTTTAAGAAACTAACCCCTTCCCTCGCTGGGAAAATGGGCGTAAGTGGCAAGTCCAGAGGTTCCCGTCACAGACCGGCTGATCCTCCTATCCCACCTTCTGATTTTCTCCTCTTCCGGTCTCTTCTTCGGAATCCCCTTTGCCACCAGAACCCTGGAATTCCTCATGAAGCACCTGGTCCACATGGCTTCGTTCAGTTCCCAGACCAACATGCACGCCCGGAATCTCGCCATTGTCTGGGCCCCCAACCTGCTCAGGTAAGAGAGGCGGCTTCCAATCTGGACCCCCTTAGGGTCCTTTCGCCTGGGGGGCAGGGGGGGCAAGCCACGTTATCTTCCATGCAAATCACAACAAGCCACCTGCCTGGGAGCCAGATCTGTGTGTGGTGGGTTCCAACCGGTTCGGAACGGTTCAGCAGGACCGGTAGTGATTTGACGGCCTGAGTCGCTGGAAACGGCAGCAACTCTGCCATGCCACCTTGTATATAATATATAATATAAATGAGTAAATATGAAATAAGGAGGCAGATGTATAAAACAAGAGGCCTTAGAATGGAAATTTCGAAAGCAGGAAAAGAAAATAACGATAACGTAAAGCTGTAAAAGTGCAGTTGTGATTTTAATGTTTAAAAAGCGTTGGATAAAAATTATTTTTAAAAAAAGAAGAGAAGGAGGTTTTCCTTTCTTCCTTTGATCTTGGTATTTGGTATTTATTTGGTATTTATTAATGCTTATAGGCCGCCCTTTTCCCTGAGGGGACTCNTAAGAAGATGTCGGATAGCCATTTGGCTGGAACGGTATAGGATTTCCTGCCCAGGCAAGGGGTTGGACTAGAAGACTTCCAATTCTGTTATTCTGCTATTCTTCCCTCCCTCCCTCCCTCCCTCCCTTCCTTCCTCCCTTCCTTCCTCCCTCCCTTCCTTCCTTCTTTCCTTCCGAGTGACAGGATTCAGCCAGTTTGCACCACTTCGGGAGAACCGGTTGTTAACTTTCTGAGCAATTTGGTGAACTGGTTATTGAAAGAAATCATTAGTACAGAGAACCGCTTGTTAAATCATTTGAATCCCACCACTGTTCCTTCCTTCCTTCCTTTCTCTGCCTCCCTTCTCTGTCACTGGAGGTTTTTAAAGAACAGACTGGATAGCCATTTGTCTGAAATGATACAGGGTGTCCTGCTTAAGCAGAGGGTTGGACTAGAAGACCTCCAAGGTCCCTTCCAATGCTTTCATTGTTTGTTTGTTTCCTTCCCTTCCTTCCCTTCTTTCCCTCCCTCCCTCCCTCCCTCCCTTCCTTTCCCTTCCTTCCTTTCCTTTCCGTCCTTCCTTCCTTCCATTTCTTCTTTCCCTTCCTTCCAAAATAGGTTTTTAAAAAGAAATTGGACAACCATTTGCCCGAAATGATGCAGGGTCTCCTGCTTGAGCAGAGGGTTGGACTAGAAGACCTCCAAGTTCCCTTCTAACCCTATAATGCGACCAGTCCTGAATCTATCCAGATTCTTTACTATGATTCCATTGTCAAGGTTCCAAGTAACACCCCCAGTGAAAAAAGACTCCGAGGCTTCCAATTCCTCAAAGTTCCATTTTATTAGAGATGTCATATTGGCACATCTAGGAAAAACCCGAAACTGAGGGTTCTGGGTTTTCTCCACCCAGGAGGAAGTCAAAGATCCGTCCCCTACACCTTATTGTCTTCAGGGTTGAGACCCATTCCTGTAGAGGACACGTGGTTGGTTCCTCTGGCTTAGTCAATTCTAAATAAATTCTCCCAGGCGTCAAGAATGGGGGACATTTAACTGAGACAGGGATGATAAAACCATGACTGAAGATTGTTGGTGGGCTTCCAAAATTTGGTGGTGGGCAGAGAGATTTCTTCTTCTTTCCCCCCTCCTTCAGTTTGTGGAAAGTTGATTTGTTCTAGAGATTCATGTCGTTGGAGACGAGAATTCCTGGAGAAGAACATTTCAGAGAAATTCTCATAGGGGAGTGTGATGTTCTTGCATTTAAGGTAGTGGCCAGGTGTGTTTTTCGGTGGAAAATATTTTCTTTGGTGGTCTCCAGTCTCTGTTTTCCACTCACCTCGAAGAAAAAGGTCAGGAGAAACTGTATATCTAAGGAGAGTCTCAATCATCCAGGTTGTATAAAGATTTCCCCTCTCCCCCCAAAAAAACTGGACTTTCTTGGTTTTTTTCTTTTGTTTTGAAAACGTTTGACTTCTCATATCAGGGTTCCAAGTAATAGATCCATAACAAGCAAAACTGTGAGGCAAGTACCATGTTTCCCAGAAAATAAGGCAGGGTCTTATTTTCTTTTAACCCCCCCCCCCAAAATAAGCGCTTGGCCTTATTTTCAGGGAGGCCTTATAATTTTTGAGGTGCAGGAGGCGGAGAGCGTGATCACCTCATGGCTGCTGCTGTGTTGCAATATTTTCGGGGAGGGCTTATTTTAGCACATGCACTCAAACGTCCGGTTGGGCTTATTATCAGGGGAGGTCTTATTTTCAGGGAAACAGGGTAGATTCCTCAAAGAGTAGCTTTATTTGAAATATCATATTGGCACAGATCTGGTGAAAACCGACTCTGAAGGTTCCCGCAGTTTTCACCTAATGAAAATTAAAAGTTTGTCACTTTCTCCAAACAATCAGCCACATGGTCCAATCACGGCACTGCCTGTTGCCTAGTGACATCACTCCGCCTTCCTCTGACCAGGTGTGAGAATGTCCTTGGTTCTCAAGAGAAAGTATTTTGTTTTGACTACAAAGTCCCAGCTATCTCAAATCCCCCCTCCCTGTCCCTCAGCTCCAGTGTGACAACACTGAAGCTTCTAAGATGGCTTCGGTCAGGTCAGCTTGAAGCTTGAATTGAATCAAATTGAAGCAGTTTCATGAAATTCATGAACTGAAGAAGCTTCTTGGATGAGAAACGAAATGTTTTCGAAAGAAAAAACCCCAAGAAAGTCTAGTTGCCTTTGGAAAAAGCACCTTTGGGATTAAGAGAGAGATGTGTTCCATGGGATTTTAGCAGCCAGTGATGGAGGAATGGTGATGGAGCAGTTGAGTTGACCAAGGATGAGGTGTGAGCGGATGGCCTTTGATTGCTCCATCAGCTCTCCAGAGGTTGCCAATCTTTCTGGCTTTCCAAACTTTGAGGAAGTCCTAATTGGAGGAGAAACTTTAGGATGAAATTATCCAGTGTTTTAGATGATTGATGAGCCTTTCCTAGCTGATTGGGGAGGGTGGGGCTCGTGGAGAGATTTATCATTTCCAAATTGAATCTTGGTGCTTCCCCAGTTCCCCACGTCCTGAAGAGCTGCACAGAGTTTGTGGAACAGCATGGAATCATAGATGGCATCTACCGGCTCTCCGGAGGCTCTTCAAACACCCAGAAGTTAAGGTAAAGGTGGGACTATCAGTTTTGATTCGAGTACCAAATTATAGGATCTCTAAACTAAGAGAGAGAGCACATTGCCATGACCTGGTCACCGTGATACAAAAGAAGATGTTGAGACTCTAGAAAGAGTGCAGAGAAAAGGAACAAAGGGGATTAGAGGTTAAAACATATGAAGAACGGTTTCAGGAATTGGGATATGTCTAATCTAATGAAGAGAAGGATTATGTTCTGACCTAGGCTTCCCGCAAAAGCAGGAGGCAGAGTCCTGGTCCCGACAAAACCCCTTTTATTAAACAAATGTGAATTCCTCTCACTCACATTCAGCCAAGGCCTGGCAAACAGTCTTTCAAAGGAGTATTTATGACCACAGAACTTATCAGGCTTGGAAAGCTGCCATGTCAACATTTCCCAAATGAGGTGCTGTGCAAGAGAAGACTCTGGGCACAGAGTCTCTGAAACTCACGGACAGATCTTCACACTCCTGAAACAAACCAACGAATTGTTTCCTGCAAACCCCCCCCCCTCCATTTTTGCTCCTTTTTTAATTCCTCTGGGGGGGGCCATTCCGTGACCCGACAAAAGGGCGAACGACAAAACCGCACACGACTAAACTGCGTCGCTAAAACCGCGATGTCATCAACGCGCCAACAACAGCACGACGACAACAGCGTGGAGACAGAAGGGCGATTTCAGTCGACAGAAGGGCAATTTAAGTTAAGGTAAGGGTTAGGTTTAGGGTTAGGTTTAGGGTTAGATTTAGGGTTAGGTTTAGCGTTACGTTTAGGGTTAGGGTTAGGGTTAGATTTAGGGTTAGGTTTAGGGTTAGGTTTAGGGTTAGGTTTAGGGTTAGGTTAAGGGTTAGGTTTAGGTTTAGGGTTAGGGTTAGGGTTAGGNATAGAAGTGAGAGGCAGCAGTGAGATAACATTTGCAGTCCAGCATTAAGGTTACAATTTGCTAGCTAGAAAACAACTAATTTCTGACAGTATACAATAATATAAGCAGAAGCAAACATTGATTCCTATTGATTCATATACTCCTTCAGTTGAAATTAGAAATAACTGTGGGAGTTGCATTCAGCTTATTTTTACTTTTTTATTTGATCATTAAAGGTATATACTCACCGCCGCAAGTGACAACATTCCATGGTGCACAGCTAGAAAATATTTCTAATAAAGAAAACAGAGCATCTTTGAATATTCTTGCAAATTCCATATGAAATAGTTAAAGATATTCAACAGTGTTACGTTTATGATGAAAAACATCAAACCAAAGTTGGAAGCAGAGATATTCAAGCCCACGGTTGCATCCCACCATTAATACAGAATACAGATAAGGCCTTGACTTACGACAGTTTCTTTAGTGACAGTTGAAAAATTAAAACGGTGAAAAAAGGGACTAATGACCATTTTTCACTCTTACAACCCTATCCCCATGATCACGTGATCAAAATTCAGATGCTTGGCCACTGACTCATATTTATGACGGTTGCAGTGTCCTGGGGTCACTTGTTCCCCTTTTGCGACCTTCTGACAAGCAACGTCCATGGGGAAGCCAAATTCACTTAACAACGGTGTTAGGTTGAGTTGTGTTACTAACTCAACAATTCAATAATATTGAGTCATGGGCTGTACAGAATAACATAGATTGGAATAGAATAGAATAGCAATAGAATAGCAATAGCAATAGAATATAGAATAGCAATAACAATAAGGAATAGAATAGAATGGAATAGCAACAATAGCAACAGAATAGCAATAGCAATATAGAATAGAATAGAATGGAATAGCAATAGAATATAAAATAGCAATATAGAATAGAATAGGATAGAATAGGAATAGGAATAGGAATAGGAATAGGAATAGGAATAGGAATAGGAATAGGAAT